CAGACTGACAGACAGACAGACAGACTGACAGACACACAGACACACAGACACACAGAGACACAGAGAGACACAGAGAGACACAGAGAGACACAGAGAGACAGAGACACACAGAGACACACAGAGACACACACACACACAGACACAGAAACACAGAGACACAGAGACACAGAGACACAGAGACACAGAGACACAGAGACACACACAAACACACAAACACACACAACACACAAACACAAACACACAAACACACAAACAAACACAAACACACAAAAACACACAAACACACAAACACACAAACACACAAACACACAAACACACAAACACACAAACACACAAACACACAAACACACAAACACACAAACACACAAACACACAAACACACAAACACACAAACACACAAACACACAAACACACAAACACACAAAGACACAAGGACACAAACACACAAACACACAAACACACAAACACACAAACACACAAACACACAAACACACAAACACACAAACACACAAACACACAAACACGCCACACGCCACACGCCACACGCCACACGCCACACGCACATATGCATTTCTTGCGTGGCTGGTCGGTGACAGAAGGCGTGGACTCTTCTCATGAGTTGGGTAAAGACTGATGCAGCCGAAGGCATCTGCCCATATTCTGCCAATCCAGCGCGTTCAGGTGGGGCGGGCGGCGGGCCCCTACACTCTAAACCCTCAACCGCAAACGTTGCCGTGCTGCACAATCCACGGGCGCTCGTCCGGCAGCCCAGTGGCGAGGACATCTTGCAACATCTCATCCTGCGTGTACCAAACTTTCCTGGACCCTTAACCTACGGCTCGGTTTCGGGTCTACAGGTTTTAGCGCTGTGGGTCCCCCTAGGAAAAATAATAAACAGATCTTTTACATTCCTTTCTGGTAAAGGAACTAGGTAGCTTACGTCCCTCTTTTATTCCCTTTAAGGGATCGCATAGGGTGCCTAACTCCCTCATTCCTACGAAGAACCCGGAAGTTTATGGTAGTTCCTCGTTGGGAGTACCTAATTTTATTGCGGTTAGCATATTGCAACAAGAAAGTTTGGTGCCTAAAAAGTGAACTACAGAACTAGCTCTGTCTCTAGCTCATGTCAATGTAAGGGTCTCTCATGCCAGGCCAAGCACGGCAGCACACACAGAAACAACGGCCTGCAATCGCTGCCGTCGCTCCAAGTAGTAGCCATGGTACGCAATGTCCAAACGATTGCGGATGTCCGCGAACAGCCCCGAGTTGTTTCCCCCAGATGTTGCCTGATAATTCCTCATGGGGCCGGAGACAAGAGCATGAGGGGGGGGGGGGGTTGCCCTCATCAAGCGGTGATACTTCGGTAGAAAGAGAGCCTGAGACACATTTTCCTACTCATGCTGGCATCAAGTTGCGCGGCCAAAACCCCGACGCGCGAAACATCGCAAAACAAAAGCCTCGCGACACAGAATCTTGCCCAGAGACTCAACTATACCCCCCCGTAGAACCCTAAAAGAGGGCTATCAATGTAGTGCTGCCGGTAGACTCACTGCTCGGCTTGCCCCAGTCCTCGACAAGATGAGAGAAATGTTGGGCTTCCGGACTGGAGGTCCAGTTCTGAGGTTAGGGTTTAGGGTTTAGGGTTTAGGGTTTAGGGTTTAGGGTTTGTTTAGGGTTTAGGGTTTAGGGTTCAGGGTTCAGGGTTCAGGGTTTAGGGTTTCGGGTTTCGGGTTTCGGGTCTAGGTAGGGAACCAACAAAGAGGGCAAAAGGGTACCACTGGGCTACCAAGCCAGTTCTGAGGTCGAACCCTTCAGTTCATGAGGCTTGAAATTCTTGATCACTTGTTGGGGGGGGGGGGGGGGGGGAAACCTGAAAAGTGAACTGACCACATGGTGTGTGAGGTGGGTGTTTAGTGCTTCAAAGGTCCGATTTTGCTCGAGCAGCCAGGACTACATCCAGCGGGCGACAAAACGATTCTAAACAAAACCTCCACCTCTCTCTTTCTCTCTTCCCTCTCTCGCACTCTCTCCGTCTCTGTATCGTCTTCTCAACAGCCTTGTAGGCTCTCCCCTCTTCTCTTTCTTCTTCTCTGCGAGAACGAAAACAGCATAAGATTACACTAACATGGCCAAGGCTAGGAGGGCGGGATTTGGCGACAGATCGCCCGCCCAGAACAGGCTGCTCTGAGAATCCGCAGAGCACAAGTTGTGAATTTAACCCATAAGCCCATGTCTAAGGTTAGAAACATGTGTACCTCCTTGAAAGGGTTATGAAGTCTGGCCCCTTGTGTTGTATAGGGGTATATAAGGGGGTATATAAGGGGTCCCAATTAAGGGCCTATACTGAAGGACCATGGAACTACCCTAAGACCATGAACCGCGAAGCCCAGCGGAAACCCTAAACCCTAAACCCTAAGCCCAAAGCAAGTCACAGACAGCCAAGGCCGTGGCGTAGTTGGCATCCACCTGCCAAAGGTACTGCAAGGGCACGAAGACACCTCGGAGCTTTAAAGATACTAAACAAGGACAGGACGCTCAAAACTTTGGGGCCCGGTGACTGTAGGCTAATCTTGCGGAGATTTAGGGCTTGGGGCTCAGATTTTAGGTTTAGGGTTTAGAGTTTAGGGTTTAGGGCTTCAAAGTCGCTGCTATGAGGGCCGCAGCCCTGAGGTCCGAGCTCGCAGCCGAGTCAGGGCCCACCGCCCTGCGTACCGTTGCTTGCGGGGCGTGGGGTTTAGGGTTTAAGGTTTAGGGTTTAGGGCCAGTTTAGGGTTTGGGGTTTAGGGTTTAGGGATTGAGGCAAGGCCTACGAAAGATATAAACGACAACATGTCGAACTTCGGGGCTAAGAAGGAAGGAAGCATTGTTTGGGAGGGACCTTGGGCTCTGGAGGTTTGGAGGTCGGGTTTAGGGTTTTAGGGTTTTGGGGGTTTAGAGCTTAGGGTTTAGGGTTTAAGGTAAAACGATGTTGGTTGGCTCAAGGTCGACACCTTGTGGTGGAGGAGGCTTTTGTTTAGCTCTGGCGTGTATCCTCCTGCCTTGTGCCTGTGTGCTACCCTAAACCCTAAACCCTAAACCCTAAACCCTAAACCCTAAACCCCAAACCCTAAACCCTAAACCCTAAACCCATGGCTACATGGCAGCTCTAGACTCTTTTGGGCGCTTCCCGTCTGCAAGCCTCGACGGACCCGACTTCCCGAGATCTGTGTGCACCATCGGTGCCTTCATAAGTAGGCTCTGGGGGGGTTATTGTAGCTTACTTATAAAGGGACGCCAAGGGAATATTATCTTCGTAACTATTCGATCACTATATTACCAAGTACCAAGTCTTTGATGTGCCGATGTCCTTTCCGGAATCAAGCCCTCCGTTCTCACAAGCCCTCCTTGAGTCATACACCCGGCGACGCTTCAACTCCCAGCCCCCTAAACCCTAAACCCTAAACCCTAAACCCTAAACCCTAAACCCTAAAACCCTAAAACCCTAAAACCTAAAACCCTAGACCCTACACCCTAGACCCTACACGCCAAACCCCAAACCCTAAACCCGAATCCGAATGCCCTCATGCGCGCCTGACGGAAAGAGCCCCTTGCCGAAGATTCAGCTCGGGGCTCAGTCCCAGGTGCCGCCACGGCCTAGTTCAGTCGAAGAGGGCTCCGTAGAGTAGGGTTTTGGGGTTTGGGGTTTGGGGGTTTAGGGTTTAAGGTTTTAGGGTTTAGGGTTTAGGGTTTAGGGCTGAGGGTTTGGGGCTTAGGGGTTAGGGTAAATTATGCACCTTTAAAAAGCCTCGAAGGGGAGCAAACACAAAAGCAAGTGGCGTGAAAAGGCATCCCATTCCGCCACTTGCTCTGTTGAGCTCATTCTGTCCAACTCCCATGGGTCAGGGGTTTAGGGTTTAGGGTTTAGGGTTTAGGGTTTAGGGTTTAGGGTTTAGGGTTTAGGGTTTAGGGTTTAGGGCTTCGGGTTTGGGGTTTGGGGTTAGGGGTTAGGGGTTAGGGTTTAGGGCACTTACCCTCCCCATCTCTCTGTCCGCGCTCCCGCTCCCACTCCGGCTCTCACCACGCTAAGCGCACCTACAAGCAGCAAGCACCTCTACACTCTACACCCTAAACACTAAAACCCCAACAGGCCACATGCCCCCATAGACCACATAAACCCTAAACCCTAAACCCTAAACCCTAAACCCTAAACCCTAAACCCTAAACCCTAAGCCCCCATGCCCCAAACATCATTGGTGCCAACCCCAGAGGCGCACGCGTTCGGAGAGGCAAGGTTCTGCCAAGGGAGCTCCAGCAGCTTTGGAGGCCTCCAGCTCTTCAAGGCAAACAAAACAAGGGTTGAGGGTTGAGGGTTGAGGGTTGAGGGTTGAGGGTTGAGGGTTGAGGGTTGAGGGTTGAGGGTTGAGGGTTGAGGGTTTAGGGTTTAGGGTTTAGGGTTTAGGAAGTGTGCTCCCCCCCCCCCTCCTTCCCCCTGGACTGTTGAAACTGATGCTGGGGGTCTTTAAACAGTCCCGGGTTTTCATACGATTATGTGATTTTACAGGCCCGGCAATTGATACAAAAGGCGCGCCCTACGAAATCTTCTGACAACACCTGGAAGACTTCACTTAATAGGGGATCCCACGGGCACGCCTAAACGGACATAGGATCCTGATACGTCCTGATAGAGCAGGCCTACGAATGCAGGTCCCACACTAGAGTTTCGAGGCAAGATGCCAAGACCTAGAGGCTTTTAGGAAGTTTTGGCCTCAACCGCAGCATCCAAGAGTCCCCACTCAAACGTGCCCCAAGCGAAAGGCTTGTAGGTCATTTTTTGTGTAAGGCTTACCCTTTACAGTGTCCATGCAGCCTATACAGTATATACTGGGGCCTTCACCCCCTTTCAAGGGGCCAAGTATGTACTCGACGGGTGCATGTGGGGAAGGAGGGGGGGATGGTAAGGCTTGTAGGGGTGCTGCACTCGGGGACCCTTTCTGGGTCGATATGAGAAAAATCAGGGCTTATAGCTTTTGCGGGTTTGTGTGGAGGGATCGATTTTGCTTCTTGCATACGGATGTTTTCCCCACTTTCGTTGTGTTGGAGACTGCCGGTCTGGATGCAGCAGCTTGCATCAATCAAGCACGGTTGCAGTTGAGGCATGTTGTCTGAACAGGGTATATTCTCACTTGCTCCTACATGTATCTGCGCACGCGGTTTGGACAGTACATGTACCGTCAGCGCGCGCAGGTCGTATGCATGCGTTTTGACATATCGGGCTCTAGTGGTAAAGGCTCGTTAAGCCTGACTGCTGGCAACGACACCGGAGCGACCGAAGGCCAACGTCCGCACTTTCTAGCCAATTTCAAGCCACCAAACCCTAAACTCTCAACCATCCTCCCTGTTGCGAGACTGTGCACTTTTTGCCTCGGACAGACTCAGTGAACTTGCCAACGCTGGCCAGGAGATGTATTCGACCCCGGCATGCTCCTGGGAACGCACATAAAGGCCGAAGGGTTCAACCCCAGACCCCGTAACCCATGTCACAACCCCCCCAAAACGGTTTAGGGTTTAGGGTTTGGGGTTTAGGGTTTAGGGTTTAGGGTTCAGGTCAGGGTTTAGGGTTTCGGACTCAGGACTGGTTTAGGGTTCGGGTTTAGGGTTGGCTTTTTGGGTCTCTGCTCCGCCAGACGGAGGAGCAAGCCAGACAAAGGGAACTTCTGCCGTGCTTGATGAATCGTAATTGCCACTTTGCCCCAAAACCCTTAGCCCGAAACCCTTCACTCAAACCTCAAACCCCAAACCCCAAACCCCAGAGCCACAACCCCAAGCCGTAAACCCTGGTAAGCCTAAACCCTAAACCTTAAACCCGGAACCCTAAGCCAGAAGCCCTTAGCCCTTAGCCCTAAGCCCCAAGCCCCCAAACCCTAAAAGCGCTAAACCCTCAACCCAGTAGCACTTCAATGGTTTGAGGCGCAGAGTGTGAGGTGCACTGAGCAAACAACATCAGAGAGTCGGCGTGGCAACTTGTCAGGGTTTATATATGGCTTAGGGTTTAAGGGTTTAAGGGTTTAAGGGTTTAAGGGTTTAAGGGTTTAAGGGTTTAAGGGTTTAAGGGTTTAAGGGTTTAAGGGTTTTAGGGTTTAAGGGTTTTAGGAAGGTTTTAGGGTTTATCTGGCTTAGGGTTTTAGGGTTCGGGTTTGGCGTGCGGCTCTTGGCTCTTCTTCTCAACACCGCTATCTCTCGCCTCGGCAAAGCATGTGGCCTGCCGCGAGCTGTAGCCAAGGCCTTGGGGTGGGGAAGGGTGGGAAGGGTGGGGAGGGTGGGGAGGGGTTAGGGTTTAGGGTTTAGGGTTTAGGGTTTAGGGTTTAGGGTTTAGGGTTTAGGGTTTAGGGTTTAGGGTTTAGGGTTTAGGGTTTAGGGTTTAGGGTTTAGGGTTTAGGGTTTAGGGTTTAGGGTTTATGGGTGTGGGGGAGGGTGGGACGGTCTTCGGGGTCTGCTGCTTGAGCTTCAGGATGGTTCATGGCTTTCAGGGCTCTTAGGACTTCGGGGGGGGCCCAACAAAAGCCATGTAGGGTTTTTGCTTGCAACGAACCCTAAACCCCAAACCCTAAACCCTGAACCCTAAACCCTAGACCCTAAACCCTAAACCCTAAACCGCCTGAAAGAGACCTAGACCACAAGGCTGAGGGTATCTGGCCAGGCACGCCGAGCGGGCGCTGATGGAGAAAACGAGCGCCACCAGGGTCAGCTTCGACGCCTTACCTTCGAGATCCGACGTGAACACCACGACTCTAAGCCTCCATTCCTAAACCCTAAACCCTAAACCCTAAACCCTAAACCCTAAACCCTAAACCCTAAACCCTAAACCCTAAACCCTAAACCCTAAACCCTAAACCCTAAACCCTAAACCGCTCTCAACTTCACCTTTGCTCGCCTCCCCCCTGAAATCTAGAAGCCGGAATTCAAAATTTCCAAACCGCAAGCTGCAAGCCGCCAACCCCCTGAATCTCTGTAGACTCGAAGCAAATGCATTAGGGTTTGAGGTTTGGGGGTGGGGCTTGAGGAGGTGGGAGCCGGTACCGGCCCGCAATTTTTAGGGCTTCTTTTCGGTTCGCGAGCGTAGGGTTTGAGGCTTCAATGAGTTTTGGGGGTCTTCTGAGGTTTTTGTAGGCCGCGTTTCAGGCCTGCTACTTGTAGCCTCATTCGAATGGGCATGTCATTCTCTTTACTTGCTCTTATTCATATTCTTGTTCCTATTCCTCATCCCTTTCTTCTTATTCATTTTCTTCTTCTTCTTCTTATGCTTATTCCTCTGCTTCTTCTTCTTATTATTATTCTCATGAAACTTTTTCACTATATTTAAGATAATTCTTTGTGTCATCCCTCAGTTTGCTGTTTTTGCTTACTGTTTCATGTTTTCGAATAATATACCTTTAAGTCGGTAATAGGTATACGTAGTTTATGCTATGAATACAACCTGTGCAAGATAAAGGTACCTATTCTTCTATGTGAGGCAAACATTTAGCAGATGCCAGTATGTTGATATTGCAGTTGAAGCGGTGTCAATTTTAGTTGCGGAGTACAACTCGCAAGTAACGATCTATAACGTGATATGTCTATATGTATATTATGTATATGTACACACATATACATACACATACACATACACATATATACATACATTTTTATATATGCATACACATACACATACACATACAGATACATATACATATACATATACGTATGCATATGCATATGCGTATACATATACATATACATACATACGCGCACGGCAAAATCTTCAATATTATCTGTGAACTATTCAATCTCAACGAATGCAGGATACACAAGACTATATATGGTCAGATCTCTGCCCGAAATAAGAGGCGCCGCGGTACAATGAGGACCGAACAAATCTTTGAGAGAAGCGCCAATCTCATATCACGTCATATCCCCTCTGGGCAGCCAGCTGAGTCGTCGACCGGCAGTCTGCGGCAGAGGCGAGGCGCAGGCCATGAGGGTTTAGGGTTTAGGGACTAGGTATCCGGGTTTGTTCTGTGTCCCCGATGCCAAGTACTCTCAAGTGCTTACGGCTTGGAGGGTTTCGGGTTCAGGGGTTTAGGATTTGGACCAAACAGGGCTTCTAAACTGTAGCTCCTGCTACCATTTGAGCCCAGCACCCCGGAAGCATTCGAGCGCGCATGCAGCTGGGCCATCGTGCTGCTCCTTGAGCCCTGACTAGCACCGACATTATGTGAACTAAGGTACAAACCCTAAATCCCAAACCCTCAACCCTGGTGAGCTGCTGCACAGCGAAGCCCAGACATCGGAATGGCATTCTCCCTGCATACCCGCTGAGTGCAGGGACCCAGCTTTCATGGCATCGTCGAGCCATGGCCACGGGAAAGGCAGCAGTGGGAGAATCTCCAACCCCCGCTTCTTAGGGTTTAGGGTTTAGGGTTTAGGGTTTAGGGTTTAGGGTTTAGGGTTTAGGGTTTAGGGTTTAGGGTTTAGGGTTTAGGGTGACCTAGAGTGTAACTCCTCTATATCCTTTCCTAAGCATACATAGGCTACTCGAGGTAGAGCTTCAGGGGTCTCAGTACTTCAGTCCTGGAACCCCCCTCCACCATGCACCCAAAGACCGGACTTCTGGAGCTGTCTTCCTGGAGCATAGCCTCTAGGGCAAAGGTCTTGAGGTCGTGGCTGTGTTCCATCACTTAGGGGTTCCGGGTGGTGGGGTGTGTGTGGTCCGTGCGTCAGTGAGGGCCCTAAACCCTAAACCCTAAACCCTAAACCCTAAACCCTAAACCCTAAACCCTAAACCCTAAACCCTAAACCCTAAACCCTAAACCCTAAACCCTAAACTGAGCCAGTCAGGGAGCGCATGTTCCAGTATGGCCTCATGCCTTGAGCCGAGACACAAAAGTTTGGGAACCCTAAACCCTTAACCCTAAACCCTAAACCCTAAACCCTCAACCCTCAAACCCTAAACCCCAAACCCTAAACCTACAGCCGGGACAAACTCAAGCCTAAGAATGTACCCCGCACTCTAGAACCGCCCCCCCCCCCCCCCCCCCCCAAAGAAAAAATGTATTATATGTATTATATGTATATATGTATATATGTATATATGTATATATGTATATATGTATATATACATATAATATACAATAATAGTACTTCGAACATCCCCACCTTGCTCCTCGTTAAAAGGAAAGAGCACAAATAAGATGTTCAAACAAAGACACATTGATTCAAATCCGCTTTCTTAGTATGCGCTTGCAACTGGAGTTGGCTCCGTTAAGCACTCCAGGGAGTCTCTGGGGTTGGGCACTCCAGGGAGACTCTTTGGGCACTCCAGGGAGACTCTGGGGTTGGGCACTCCAGGAGACTCTGAGGTTGGGTACTCCAGGGAAATTGTGGGTTTGGGCAATCCAGGGAGATTCTGGGTTGGGCACTCCAGCTCTCTGGGTTGGGCACTCCAGGAATCTCTGAAGTTGGGCACTCCAGGGAGTCTCTGCAAAGGCACTCCCGGGAGTCTCTAGGAGTAGACCGGGTGAGGAGAAGAGTTCCGGGCGAGGAGAAGAGTTGAGTTTACAGTCTAACAACCCCACACCGAAGGTGGGGAACAAAGAACAAGCAGAAATAGATGAACTTAACACAACAAATAGTATGCTTATGTCTTCGTATGTGTATGCATAAAGTATGTTAAACACATACATATATTCATAGTAGAATACAGTACGATATTAGTAAAACATAGACATGGACATGATACATATATATATATATATATATATATGTATATATATACACAGATATAGAAAATATCAACATACACATGTGTATCTATATATATATATACACGTACACATACACATACACATACACATACACATACACATACACATACACACACACACATCAATGGATCACATCAACGATAGATACAATGCAAGAGAATTTATGTCTATGTGCATACCATAGGCCGAAGCCTGAAACTTGAGAGCATCACCAAGAGCTCCTGACTTTTCCCCCACCCGACACCATGCGGCAGTCGGCATCGAGGGTCCCGGACAGGGCTTAGGTTGGGGACACCCTAAACCCTAAACCCTAAACCCTAAGCCCTAAACCCTAAACCCCTTCACCGTTTCAATTTCAGAGGTGTAGGGTTGAACCGCATCAGAGCCAGGCGAACTTCCACCCCGAAACCCTAAGCCTGGAAAACCCAGACCTCAACCCTAAGCCTTACCCCAAACCCCAAACCCTTAACCCTAGACCCCAAACCCTAAACCCGAAACTGTGCGTCCGGAGCCCTTTCTCTGCGAAAACTGTGCCCAGCTTTGGGAGGGGATGCACACCGTTGGATTCAGGTTTAGTATGGTTTTAAGTTTAGGGCTTAGGGTGAATGGATTTGAGGTTTGAGGTCTCGTCTTTGGATTTAAGGTTTCGGGGTGAAAGGATTTGGGGTTTCAGAGAGATTTTGGGCTGTAGGGGGCTTAAGGGATTTTGGGATTTAAAGGGTTTAAGGACCAACATGCGAGTGCTAAAAAAGGCGGGGCGCGATTCCCCCCAACTGATTTGAGATTTTCGGGAATTCTGTGTCGACGAACATTCCCACACTTGGGGGGGTTCCCCGTAACCCCAGAACCCTTCAACCTTACGAGCCTTCAAACCTGTGTCGAGTCAAACCCTATGTCAAACACCCTTTGTGGTTTACTCGAAACCCTAAACCCTAAACCCTAAACCGTTGGAGTTCAGGGCGGGTGCCTTGCACGTTGAAGGGAGAGATTTATTGGTCAGAATTCCGACGCTTTAGGGTGTGTTGTGCAGCTGCTTCCCTCCCTCAAGTGTTAAGGCTTTTGCGCTCTGCTTAGGGCTGTAGGGCTTATAGGGCTTTAGGGTTTTAGGCTTTTAGGGTTTTAGGGCCAGTTCTTGCTTAAGGCTTTTGCAACTGCTCAGGGCTTTATAGGGTTTTAGGGCTTCCGGGTTTTCAGGGTGTTTAGGGTTTAGGGTTTAGGGTTTAGGGTTTAGGGTTTAGGGTGAGCACACTTCGAGACATGTTGGAAATTACTTCCAGGCCGGGCCGTCGCCACGAAACTCAGTGCCCAGCACAGCCGGCTCACCAACAGAGGGTCCGATACCCACATATCCGGGCAGTAGGACCCCAAGGACCCTAAACACCCTAAACCCTAAACCCTAAACCCCAAACCCTAAACCCTAAACCCTAAATGACTTTGAGGGGCCCAAAGAGGCAACTATGGGAGGGCGGGGGGGGGGGGGGGGGGTATGTGGACCCTCTGGATTGTTGATGGGTCTTCGCGTCGACTTGCCCGTTTGCAACTGCAAAAAGGATCACTGCAGCATCTAAACCCTAAACCCTAAACCCTAAACCCTAAACCCTAAACCCTAAACCCTAAACCCTAAAACCCTACCGAGAATCAAGGAGCTCCTCCTTGCAGGACGCCCGGCAGCACCTAAGCGTATGCGAAGCATCCAGTTCACCCAGAGGGTCCATGTGTATTAGTATTGTGGAATTAGGTACCCAAAAACCATACTGAATAGGGTTTTGGGGTACCTACTTCCATAATGGTATTACAAATGGACCCTCTGGGTCATTGCGCATGGAGGGTTCAGCCGTTCAGGATTCTTTTCCGCGTACGCTCAGCATAAACTCTAAACAGTTACTGTAACTACGAATTGCTTAAGAACCCTCCAAAATATAAATATTCTTCCTTATAAGGGTAATATAGGAATTACTATCTTTTATTTTGGGGGGGCTTCTTAAGCAAAACAGTAGCAAATTCATCCTAGGTGCAGTTTAAAGCGACTACGGGGGTTTAAAGGGATTGCGCTTCAATCTTCAGTTTTCCGGTCCCCAGTTTGTTTTAGAGTTTAGGGTTTAGGGCTTAGGGTTTAGGGTTTAGGGTTTAGGGTTTAGGGTTTAGGGTTTAGGGTTTAGGGAGCAGAGGCACCTGGCTGCTTAGGGCTCGTTGTACCATTGGAGACCCGAAGCCCTCGACCCTTCAAACCCTATAAACCCTACAAACCCTACAAACCCCACAAACCCTCAAACCCTACAAACCCTATAAACCCTGCACACACCCTATCAACCCTACAAACCCTAAAACGTAAACTCTTAACTCACAACCACGTGGCTCCCCCCTGAAAACTTTGGATGTGTTGGGATTGTGCAGTGTCTGGCAGGCCCAATCGACACGTGCGCTTGAGAGCTCTTTCCCAGAAGTCTACCACTTACTTTGTTAAAGGAACATACCCCAAGGGTTTAGAGTTTAGGGTTTAGGGTCTAGGGTTTGGGATTTACGTTCTAAGGGTTAACGTGAATTTTCGTTTTGACTATGAATTCAGGGGTATTGGGCTCCTTGGGTTCGTTCTAGGTGCCTATAGGGAAAAGCCCTTCAAGCCCTCTCTCTCCTTGTCTTTCTTCCCCCTGGACCCTTGTAACTCAAGTTGTTGCCGGTTTCGGGTTTAGGGTTCCTTTTGAGGGGAATACTTCTACCCCCGCCGCCCCCACCCCCCCAGACTGAGAAAGATACCGAGAACCTCAAAAAACACCATGAACCCCCCAAAACCGAAACACGAGACCCTAGACCCTAAACCCTAAACCCTAAACCGCCCATGCACATCTCCTGCTCAGGCTGAGGCCATTTGGAGCAAGTGGTTCCTGGCAGGGACCCTAGGGTTTAGGGTTTAGGGTTTAGGGTTTAGGGTTTAGGGTTTAGGGTTTAGGGTCATTTATACCCTGACAAGAAGGGATATTCTGCACCGTTATGGACCGCAATCATTGGAAGGGTTGCCTTTTGCCGTTGTGGAAGATTCAAGCTCGACCTCGTATCTTCGTTCATAAGCCCCCACAAGTGCCTAGTTGAGAACAGCCTGCTGGCATGACTGAGAGAGAGTGTGCGGTGATGTGCGGTGGAAACACCCTGTAAAGTGCGAACCCCGAAGCCCATCACAAGCCGCCAAATGCACCAAAAGCGTGCGAGTTGGACGTTAGCAACGTCGCGCCGTCTGAGTCGACGGGACCTGACTGAAGAGCTCGCGTGCAACGAAGCCGAACCCTCAGGGTCCATTTGTAGTACTATTATGGAATTAGGTACCCCTAAACCCTATTCAGTATGGTTTTTGGGTACCTAATTCCATAATAGTAATACAAATGGACCCTCTGGGGAATGCATCAGTGAGTTTACCGCCAAATTCGAGGCATCGGTGTTGGGTTAGCCTCAACCCTCAACCCGTCCCAGCTCTAAGACAGGGGTCGGAATATTTCCTAGTCGTATTCCCTTATGGTCCCCTCAGAATTGTACTACACTAATCCCCCACAACACCTGTTCTACTTCTTCAGGCCCCTTTCATCAAACGGTCCGAGACCACACGCTGCACCCCAAGGTCTGGGCCGCGGCTCGCTACCAACTTGGCGAGCTTGCCGCTCCAGTAGGAAACCATCGCAGAGTAGCCAGCCTAGCTAGGGGATAGGATGAGGGGGACCCTTGGGGACATAGACCCTCTGAATAAGGCCCCTGTTTAAGAGAGCCAGAAGAGGGTTCAGAAGGGTTCCCGTTGAAGGGTCCCCCTTATCCTACCCAGGACCTAGCTCGGTGTTCCAAGCGGTAAGCTAGGCTTGGGGAGTGCGCTCCCCTTACCAGGGTGGGCGATTATGTCCCATCACCCCCTGAAAAAAGGCTCTTTGGAGGGTTTTGAAGTTTACATACCTATAGACCCAGACAGAGCATTCTAGTAGCTACTTTGGGCACCGGTTCATTGGGTTGAGCCCTAAACCCTAAACTGCAGCTACCCTAAACCCTAAACCCTCAATCCTAAACCCTAAACCCTATTATGACTACCCCATGAACCTCCAAGTATGGTCTTGAGGGGTTTGCGGCATGGAAGGCAGCCCCGTAGGCTGGGAGTGACAAAGCTCTTGTGCAGTGACTCAGAGCTTTTGGGGTTTAGGGTTTAGGGTGCAGTGATTTAGGGCATTAAGGGTTTAGGGTTTAGGCTTCAGTCATGATCACCCTTGCCCTCGCCCCCCCCCCCCCCCCTCCCAACCCCAAACCCTAAGCCCTAAGCCCTAAACCCTCCCCCCCGGCCCACAAAAAAATGCGAGTTCATTCGATGATTCTCGGTATCGAAGCACCTACAGCCCTGAGGCCTGATGAAGGCAAAAAACCCTGACCCCTAAACTCTAAGCCCGAAACCCTATCAACCTCCTTTATTTCTACCTCAACTCAACTCTATAAACAAGTCAGCCCTAAATCAAACTCTATAACCCACTACCCGGTACTAGCGTTCCAAGTCTCCGAAATACACCCAATACTAACCCTATACACCCTAGATGAAGCCCTACATTACACCCCTAAACGCAAAACCCTTAGGCTGTTTACATTGTCTCTTCATATGGGTCCTTCATTGGGAACCCTTACATACCCCTTATACACCCTGTAAAACCCAAGAAACACATACGTCAGAACCCTGGAAAGAAGTTAAAGGACCATATTTCGGGCCGGACCATGAAACACTTACGGTAAGTAAACCCTGAAACCCTAAACCCTGAAGCCTACACCCCGAACCCTAAACCCCAAACCCCAAACCCTAAACCCTAAACCCTAAACCCTAGCAGAGCCTGGGAGTGAAGCAGCCTTGCGCGCTGGATGTACTTGACGTCCAGGAACCTGAGATGCTAGCCCAGAACAGGGTGGAAGGTTGAGGGTTTAGGGTTTAGGGGTTTAGGGGTTTAGGGGTTTAGGGGTTAGGGTTTAGGGTTTAGGGTTCTAGGCTAGGGTCTACATTTTAGTGTAGAAAGTTAAGTACAACAAAGGTACTTAAGACAAGGAAAGACGCACAACGGGCACGCCTATTTTCCTTGAGCCAAAATACAATCAGTCATCCGAATCTGCTCTCCTAACCCTACTTGGTATGTACAGCTAAACGGTGGTTTGGGGCCAGTTTAGTTAACTCCCCCCTTTAGGAGACAGAACGGTGAGACTGGACTAGCAGATTGAGGGCAGGTTGAAACCTGCGCTCAGTAGTGTTGCGCGGTCTGAAGGACTCAAGCGCTCGGCATTTCTGATCAGGAATGCTATGGCAACGATTCGTTCTGAAGCCTCACATCCTGTCAGGACTGTGCAGTGGCGTGCTCTGGGATTGAAGAGTGCAGGGTTACACAACATGTGACCCCATAGGCTGTCGTCGTTTGGACATTGGACAGTCCCTTCCTCATCTTCTACCCACAATATGGGTCCACTTGTTGGATTCAACGCTACAAGGAGGTTCTTTGAGCCTTCTGCATTGTTGGAGTCTCGGTGGAGCCCCGCGACTACACCTTGCTGCACGATTATGCTTGAGAACTTGTGTGATGGCATATAACGTCGAAAGAATCGACATATCAACGCCGTTGCATATTGAAATTTGTGTGTGTTTGTCTGCAGGCCAAACACTCCTCCTAAGACAAATGCGCCCGCAGAAAATACATGCGAGTCGTGCCCCGGTGCCCCCCTCTTATCAGGACCATGAGGTAACAGCGTCAGTAGCTGCACCAGATGCTGACAAGTCGGGACCTTTGGGCAACTGCCTGCGAAGACTTCTGCGGCAAGATTTGCCTCTGCAAGTGCGGCGACGGCAGTTTCCAGGTGGGGTCCATCGCTGGATGCTGTCAAGCCAAACTGTGCGAGAGTATGTGGCCATTCTGCAGGTGGAATGACTTTTGTTAGGCCATTAGCTATCTGAGATTCGCTCTTGCAGTACACGGCAGTGACTTGTGGCGACTCTAGCTGTTCAGACATTGATGCAATGTTGACCCTGTGGACTCGATTGCAGTGTCTCAGCTTCGCCGAATAGCCTGTAGCCAGGACTTTGAGCAAGGTCTCGTTGTCTTGATGGAATACGACGTCGATAGCACGACCGAGGAGATGCTCCATCATGACCTGAATGTTCAAGGCCTCACCAAACATGGCGGAAGCCATTGCTATGGCCTCAGCCTCGGGAGTGCTTCTTGCAACACTCGTCTGTTTCTTAGATGCCCACCACAGCGGAAAGCGGAAATCTGTTGACCCTATAGTCATGTAGATCCCGCTCGTCGATTTTGCACTATGCGGACAAGAGGCGAAATCACTGTCAGTGAAGATGTGGATCTGGGGAGCTTCGTGATGGTTCACAGTAGCAGCTAAACATAAGCCTGTTGTACCGTGAAGATACGAAATCAGGCGAAGTAACTGCTTGTCTTCCCATTTAGTCCACGCGGCCACTCGTGACGCTAACCGACCGATTATGAAACACAGATCAGGGCGAGCCAACCGACCCAGCCAAAGTGCTTTCATAAGTACCTTTGCAGCTACATGGCTCAGTGTGCCGGGTTGCTGCAGGTCCTCATCTGACATTAACGCCTCGGACAAACTTGGGGTTGTGACGTTACGGAGCTTTGCCTTTGGGACATCAGCAAGCTCGCAGTACGCCTCGACGACCTGCTCTGCGAAAGCAGACATATCAAGCACAAGAGTTGTGAAGTCACTGCCTCGTTGGATTCGGTGACCTCTGCCAAGGATCCGTGCATTCGAGGCTTCGATGTAACATTCGTCTTCCAGCTTGATATGCGCTCTCAGCCTTTTCCAAAACTGTGCATGAAGATGCTTTGCTCCCGACAACGTTAGGTCATCTACATACACGTTAAGTAGCAGGGTATGGGAACCCATTTGAAAGATGAAGTTTGAAGGAAACAAATCCATCTCAATGCCACCAAAGGAAGTGAGAACAGAGGCTAGGTGTTTCTGCCATAGTTTGCCAGCAAGCGGATGGCCATATAAGCTTCGCTTCAACCTTACCACCAACTTCGACCCTGATGGGTACGCTTTGTGCCATGTGTCCAACCACAGCTCCTCGGGGAGGATAACCCATGTGTCGGGCTCTCCTGCCTCAGCGAGGTCAGCTTGAAGAAACGCCTGAATGGCATCTGCAAGGCTCACTGCGTTTCCATCTTGGCAGCCGAAAAACAATGCGATGTTAAGGGCAACCAAGGAAGTTGGTGTGGTAGCCACGTCTTCAAAAAGAACATGGTTTCCGAACTGGTCAAAAATGCAGTCCCCCCTGTACACGATTCTCCCTTTGAACTTGTGTTCATGCTCAGGGAGTTCGAAATGTTTTATCCCACATAATGTGAGAAGCTCTGCAATTTTGAGTTTACGGTTTTGCCGTTTTGCATCGGCACGCAAGGAAGACAAAAGACAGACTGTCAAATCATCCCACGTTCCGTTAGAACGTAACCCTTCTGCCTCCTTCTTCACGGCTGCAACTCCGCGCGGGTCTGCTTTCCATTCCCGCTTTGTTAAGTTCTTCGTGACCATGGAGGGGATGTGGCGATGGTAGCGTTGCGGATACCACGCTTCGACGATGTTGTGAGCGAGCTCTCGTGGGTATGCGTCAGTCTGCTTTGTTTGTGAGCCTTCGGCGGCCTCGTGCTGGTGGCTACCGTCACATTGCAGTTGTCCAAGAAATTGAACAAGTCGCAGATCATTAGTGGCTACGCTCCAGGGCTTGCGGATTGGATGCTCTCGGCCCTTCACTCCAGCCATGCAGCCATCAAAAGACACTTTGTGTAGACCATGTTCATCCTGAAATTCTTTCCATTCAGGGAGATCCCACCAGCCGGACCCTTTGGGCCACTCGACTGCGATCCTTCCATGATTTGCGATGGCAGTTGCGAGTACCTTGCGGGCATACAAGAACATAAGCTTGCTCTTCTCTTGGCGATTCCGAAGACCCTTTCCGTACTTCGCCCCATGCCTATGGACGTTCATGTTCTGCCACGGACTGAACTCGGTGCACGGCAATGAGAGCCACACATCACAACCTGGCGATGCTTCGACCTGACCTTGAACTTGTTTGACATGTTCTTCGTTGGACAAATCAATCATGCTTCGGCATAAGCGGATACTGTTGATGCCAATTTCGGATGCAGCTTGCGAAAGCTCTGAACTGTCGCCACACGCATATTCGAACAACACATCCTTGCCTATGAGCGTTTGCACCTTTCTTTGGCGGACTCTTTCCCTGTTGGCATCGACAAAGACTTGCGTCACACCGAGCTCGACCTTCGCAACAAGACCTTCTACAGCGGGCTCACTCGAAGGGTGGAGACCAACGCCTTCGGGGAGCTCAGCTGGAGGAACTGGCTCAGGGGGCTTGGACGTCAACGCAATCCTATCAGCCTTTATCAGGGCATCGAATCTTGCTCGGCATTTAGGACTATGCTTCACGGAATCGAAAGTGCACGCTTTGCATCCTGGTGTGGCACCGAACTTAAGAATGCGTTCAAGCGTAATGTACTCTGCGCGCCTTCGAGGAGGATCAGCAGGGGACAATGAGCTGAATGGTATGTCCAGCGCTGTGATAGCCTCAAGTTTGGGATCCTGGAACACGCGAAGAGCAAGATCCGCCGCGGCCTTTAGCGGGAAGGTCTCAGTCTCTGGGACATGCACTTCCGCATATGGCACGGGGATCATGTCCCTATACCCAATCGACTTGGACTTGACGGCTTCATAGTCTAGCACCCAGATCACGTCACGATACACAAATCCGTGCTCAAACCTCCAACCTGCAAATAGTCCGGGAGCAGTTGTAGCTTCGAACTTATGCCTGCGGCTGGGGTCATGGATCCTGTAATGCACCAACTGTCCCAAGGGAAGCCTTGGGCCTTCGAATGGGGAACCAGTTGCAACCTCGAAACGCGACTTGTCTTTGCCCTGCCACGGTACAACTGTCAAAGTCTGCGCGGCAAACTGCACGGACACATGCCACAGATCTGGAACCACATGGAACCCAGCAGCCAAATGCACCGCGCGAGTCGATTCCTCGAGAGTTCTTATCTCTCTCTCAAGTTGGGCGTTGTGTGGAAATCTGTTTTCTAGGGTCGCTTCATGCACCCATCCTATTTGTGAGACGGCAGCTATTAACTCCTTTGCATCATCAGCCTTACACAACACGTTCGGGAGGTGCTTGTATCGGGCGCCTACAAAGGTAAGGAGGTTCTGAGCTGCTCTCTCAGCTGTGCGCGCACAGACAAAAGCTCGCAGTGCACCACTATATTCATCCCTGATGACATGGACTGCATGCTCACGCTTCGAAGGGATTATATAGTCTGTTGCAATCCTCTCGCCAAACTGTTCAGCAGGAGGCAAGTCACCTCTGTCTTCGAGAGGCTCTGCACGCTTCTTGGTGACTCTTTGTCGATACATGCGGCTTCGCTGACATATCTCACAGTAGGGATTCTTAGGGATATGCGTCAACTTGTGTGCCATTGAAGAGGCCTCCTTGATGAGTTGCTTCTGACGTTCTGATGTTACGTCCTCTCCTGAGTCCGACCCAGAACCTGGCGGAATGGCAGGTGGAGGAAGTGGAGGTGGCGGGACCTCGGGTTCTACTGGAGCAGGAGGTTCCGGAGCCTTCGCTGCTTCAGCAGGTTTAGGAGCTTTTGCACCTTTGACCTTGTCCTTTGGACTTGGTTTAGCCTTTGGCTTTCTTGCTGAAGAGGACTTTGCCCTAGACTTCAGCTCGTCATCAGAGTCAGGTGGAGGATCTCTAGACCCGGAGGCGGTCTTTGACGGCACCCCTGGATCCTGCAACAACTCAAGCAAGGTAGACTCCTCCGTGATATGCGGCGAGGGTCGATACGTGGTGTGCCGTGAAGGCTCTATGGTAGTGCGTGCAAGAGGCTTTGCCTTTCTAGCATCGCTCATGAAGCCAGGCATCGCAACAGTGGAAGGCGAGACGAATCTGACCTGTTCCCTGAAGATTGGAACATTTCCCTCAACTCTATCGGCACATATGGCGGATTCTTCAATGACCTGAACGTGTTCGACACTCGACAGGAACATCGGAAGCTTTCCTGGCAACCATACAAACGGCATAGACTTTGTCTCTACCAGCTCACCAAGTGATTTTACACTAGGGCAGTTGTCCAGGAGATATGCAGAATTGTTTCCTAGAATGGAACCCTCGAAGCCAAGCATGAGCCCTGAATCAACGACACCATTCCCTGTGGAAAAGGATACTGTGGGTGCCTGTTCGGCCATGTGTGCGTATGCGTCTTCAGGAATGCCTTGTTCATTGAGGGCTTCACGACTCTCTAGGGATCTACCTGCACCACTATCAGCGATCCACTCGTGGTAGAACCATCCCTGTTGCGGGTGCTGATGCTGAGATGCTACAAGCAACGGAGTGACAGTGGCGGGACAGGCAGGAGCGCAGATGTTGCTGAACACAGTAAACCACCCCGAAACGAACTGGAAGAACCTACTCAATCCTGAACGCTTCCAAAAGGTTGTCTTGCTCGGTGTGGAGGAACCATCGACCGAGGCACCCCGCGCCGTAGTGGGAAGCAGCAGGGCGACAGCTGCGGCAGAGCTCTTTGCCGTAGCGCTAGCTCCAGTAGTCTTTGACCCTGGGGCCTTGTTACCGGGAGAGGTCTCATGCGAAAACGGACAATTCTCACCCCGGTTACACGTTCCCTTTGGGAAGAACAGGCATGGTACGGTAGCTTTGGGGGCATTTCCTTTGCTTGGGGCTTTGCCTTCAGCTTTGGAGCCCTGGCCTTTACCGCCTGATTTCGCCTTTGGCTTGTTTGGTGTTTTCTGTGAATCTGCACCCTTACCACTCCCTTTACCCCCCTTTCCCTTGCCATCCTTGTCTTTCCCATCCTTCCCAGAACCTTTGGTCTTGGCCGGAGGGGCTGGATTGGCAGGAGTGGGCTTGTCCGGCTTATCGCGGGAACGCTCCTCTTTCTTTGGGGCGGGAGCAGCTTTGGCTTTGGGCTTGATGAGAGTGTCACGAATTGACTCTTCGTTTGCTTCTTCTCTCAGCTCATCTAGCAATTCGACAAGCTGCGACCACAACCACGCAAAGGTTCGCTTGTTGCTACCTGGATTGGAGTCTTTGATCTTGTCGACTGCTCTGGAAAGAAGCCTGCAGTGCTTGAGCTTGGAGTATAACCAGCTAAACAAGGTAGACTCAGCGGGCCATGCTTCGGGACTGAAACCGTTCAAACAAAACTCAACCTTTTCTCTAAAGGCTTGCAGTTGTTGTTGGCTGAAGCCTTCGAGCTGGATGGCTAAGAGTGTCTGCTGGGAGACTGTCGCCCCCCTGATCCGGTCTACCCGACACCTTCGGCTGAGCATTGCCAACAGCGCACGCCCGGAAGGCTGCACGCCTAACGCATGTGCTCGCTCGGTGAACGCCTGGGCAGCGACTCCGTAGTCTCCCTTGAGGTGTTTTGGATCTGTAAGCTGTGCAGCCAGGAATGCATCAAGGCGGGGAAGGCCGTCAGACGTGACCTGCAGATTGCGCATCTGTCGGTCTCCTATGGCTGGATCAAGGGCGACCTGGAGCCATCTCAGTATCCTGGCGTTCCCACTCTTGTCTATGCTGCTGAACGATGTCAAAACGCCGTTCCTCCATGCTCGATATCCCGCGGCTGTCGAAGGAAGTGCAGGGATTTTCAGGTCTCGAAGATCTTTGTTGTGGTAAGTATCCTGCTCATAGTCTACTTCTTCTTCCCCCGGTGCATCGGTGACATCAATGATGGGGTCATCTTCCCTCTCCTCTTCCTCCTCACCTTCCTCGTGTTCGGACCCGATGTCGTAGTGCATCGGAGGGTCTGGGGGATGCACGACTGAAGGAGGTTTGGGAGTGGAGAAGACGTTGAAGGGATTGTCACTCGAAGAACCCTTCTTGGATCTAGACGGAGCCGGCAAACCAACACCGGTGAAAACTGGCAACCTGGGTGCGCAGAAGCATCCAAACCGATTTGGAACAGGCGCAGCAGCCACACCAGCAGATCTTTGACCTTGAGCCGCTGAGACCTTTGGACTCTTATGCTTAGGGGAGGGTGTCCCGTTTCGGAGCCCCGAACCTTTCGCTTTGCTTTTAGGCTTGGATGCTTTGGGACTGACGATTTCTCGCAACTCCTTCATTGTCTCACCAACACTTGCAGCCAAGGCCTTGAGGGCTTCACTGATCTCCGTGCCATTTTGGTCCTGAGCCCTTGAGGCCTGCGACACTCGCTCTGCGTGAAGGTGGGATGTGTCGGCTTGGGACTGTTGTTGAGCTTTGATGCTTTGCATCTCAGCTTGGATCATCGCAATCCGCTGCATCATTTCTTCCTGCTGCTCCTCAAGCTCACGATTCCTAGCCTGAAGTGAGGCAATGGTTTCGTTTGCTTGTGCAAGATGCTGACCGGCTTGTTCTGAAACACTCTGGACCTGTCTCTCAGCTTCAGCCCTAACGCGCTCTGCATACTCTTGTGCGTGCTGCATGGCTTCATGTTGAGCAGAAGTGACAGCGCTCTGAACATATGCCTGAGCCTCACTCTTTGCAACCTGCACGTATGCCTGAGCTTCATGCTGAACGTTCTGTGCAAACACCTGAGCGTCCTGTTGAATGTTTTGTGCTTGCGCTTGTGCCAGCTGTGCAGCAGCAACGGCCTGAGAATGTGTTCGGGAATCAACCCCATGAAGATGCAATTCCTGACGACTCTGATGCAGGTGCAACTCTGGGGCAATGCGCTGAACATGCTGATGCAAGTGCACATCCGGGGTGGTTGTCCCATCGCCCGGTGCAAGCGAAACAGGTTGACTTGCTGGTGCAGGACTTGCAACTTCACATGCATAAGCAGGCGGAGGCAACAAAGCTTGCATCCTAGAGGAGGAAGAGCGATTTCGGGAACTAGCTAAGGCATAGGGTTGAGAGGACCTTCCCCTTCCGGTTGAAACGGCTCTTACGGGAGTGGAATCACTACTGCTCTCTCCTACCCTTGCTTCTTGTGCCCTTACAGCACTGAGTGCCCGCGCCTGTTGTGTAGGCGGCGTGCTGGAAGTGGACACCTGGAGCGAGGAATCAGTAGTTTCGGGACTCATCGCCATGGTGCCAGGCAATAGAAACCCCAGGTTCCCCTGAAGGTCAGCACCTCTCTTTTAGCGTTTTACAGGGACCGCAGCCACAACAACACAGTGGGCACGAGATCAGTCAGCCACGTATTCGGCGATACCAAAATACCGTGAACACCATACGCCTCGACGTCCCGCACGATGTCTGATCTGTCATCCAAATGACACGCAAAGTGATCCGACCGCCGGTCCATCAAACGCTTAATGAAGGCTCCTTTTCCAGGACGGCCCGTTGGAGAGCTAGTGATGTAGACTGGCACGCCCGGAAGCTCCGAAGCCATCGACTGACGCGTTTCTTTGGCCCGTTCTGTCCCAGAGTAACTCGTGCAAATAAACTTCAGCTTCACGTGGCTCGGACGCTCTGCGTTCAAACGGTCCAAAAAATCTCGGCTGTCCTGAAAGTGGATGTTGAGCACCCCGCTGAAATCCAATGAAATCAGGACAGGGATGTCCTCACGCACTTCGACCACTTCCAAAGGTGCAACACGCGGCGCGGCAGAAGAAGAAGATGAGAGCGCCTGATTATGCTCTCTCCACTCTTCAGTAGTCCACCGGTTTATGGCTTCTCTATCTGAGTGTTGTCCCAATTCAACCTGTTCCCTGAACGAATCCGCTATGGTTGGATACTCTCTTTCGTCCAACTCCCAGTCCTGCGGTGGTCTGGACTCGGGCCGGGCCTTTGCTTTGGGACGATACACAAGAAGATCTGCTGCAGCCTCCGGTGCACGTGACGGACCTGGTGTTCCGGGCAAGGTACTTGCCTTGGGAGGAACCGGGGTTCTATTACCCTTATGTTTAGGTCGTGCCCTAGGAGGTGCAGGGGTTCGATCACCCTTATGTTTCGGTCGCGGTCTAGGAGGTACCGGAGTTTGGTCAGAACCCTCAACCAAGGAACGAGGCGGAGATCTGGAACGCACTGCGACAGGAGGAGTCCTCGGAGCCGGTATCTCAGGCTCCGGCGAAGGTGCCTGAAGCACTCCTCTGACCTCTTCCAGGGTATCCTCGACGAACGTAGCGTAAGGATGATATGGCAATGCCTCCGTGCCCTCGAGCTCTCTTTCTCGAGTTCGGACCAGCCGTATGGCCCCAGACTGCTGCTGAGTACCGATGAGAAGCTGCACCAGCGCACGGATGACCACCAAGAGGACAGCTTTCCTCCGACGGAACTCAGACGAGCCTTTGACCGCAGGCGAGTTCGTGGCCCTGGAAAAAGCAGCAGTCACACGCTCCACAAAGGACTCTTCAGAGGTCACGCGTTCCCACGCCTGCAAAAAATCGTTCCAACCCATGGTACCAGAGACAATTGCACAGCCTGATTCGGGCGGCGACCCCTCTAAGCCTAATTCGGGCGGCGACCCCAACAAGCCTAGAAAGTGGCCAGAAGAATGTGTGCAGAGCGCCTGAGCTTGACTACCTTGCCGGGATTCCTCAGATGGGATATTGGGGCAATGCAGGTCTTTCAACTAACGACACGCACTCAACCGGCTGTCTGAGCCAATGCACACGGATGAGAGTGGGGAAGACCCGCGACTCTCTTTGCTTTGACCCTGAAACCTCTTAGGGATTGGGACTTTGTCCGATGTTGCGTTCACAGTGCGTGGTCAAGCCGACGGCACTGTGGGTTTGCTGTTGGCGGAGTGATGGGCTTAGTCTCAACCCGAAGGGAGACCACAAACCACGCGAAGATCGAAGTCTGAACTGAACCTGCTGTTTGGGCAGTTCGAGGCGAAGCACACGGTGATGCAGTGATGCTTCGTCAGACGCCTAGGGTACCCACAAGGCCTAGCCTCCCTAAACCGTGCAGGGGTTCACAGGAGAGGGTACAAAGGCAAGATGTTCAGGAATGTTTGAAGTGAAGTCCGAAAGTCAGAACCAACCAGGGCAAGAGGGGCGAGCACCTCGACACCGCAGCGGAGATGCGCAGCCACACGATGTACCTGGATGTCACGGAAAGTATTGAGGCAATCTAGGGACCCACCTATCGTCGGCGTACGTTAAAGCACGGACAAGGACCCTAAGCTGCCAGTCAAACGATACCTCTCTGTAGTGATTAGCAAGAAGATTACTCACGAACCTTCTCCACCAATTTAGCGGATGAGCAATCAACAAACGCGTGATGCGTTTCTCACGCAAGGCCTTAATGAAATGAACCCAAATGTGGAGGTGTGTTGCGTAATGCTCTTCCGGCTCAGTGCTTTGCATGCACGATCGAAGATTTCGAGATATGGAATGCCACGTGGAAAGCCCAACGGTGGCTTGCAGGTGAAATGAATGCAATTGCTGAGCCTGGCTCTGGCTCGACACAATGCTGGATGTGAAGTATGAATGAGGCAGGGCCAGCGGCTCCTGTCGCGCAATTTCAAGCACACTCTCAAGGCAGGTGTGCGGTTATGGAGGGGGCACTATGGCGGCGCGCGGCTTTGCCTACGTTCCTACCAAAGTGACCACGTAGCTTGAGGCTGTTAACCAGTTAAGTACAACAAAGGTACTTAAGACAAGGAAAGACGCACAACGGGCACGCCTATTTTCCTTGAGCCAAAATACAATCAGTCATCCGAATCTGCTCTCCTAACCCTACTTGGTATGTACAGCTAAACGGTGGTTTGGGGCCAGTTTAGTTAACTTAGAATGGGCATGTGGGACATTTCTGGACTTGGAGGTCAAGATTGCCTGCTTGGAACATTGAATAGGGGGTGCTGATTGAATTCAAGTTTTCGCGGGGCCCGTGTCAAAACCCTCTGCCGTAGCCATTCCAATGCCAACCCCAGTTGCGCCCCCAAAACCTTATACGGATCTGAAACCGTTTACATTACATTGCCCAGCTCGACGCTACGCCCCTACAGACGCCTGAGGCTTCCAATTCTGCAGGTCGGCATTCGCTCTCTTCGCACGCTGAGCCCGGCGGGATCGTAGGCGAAGGCCAGCTGGTCTGGATAAAGCCCAAATTGGCGACAGATCTGCCACCTTAGCTTCAAGGGCGGAGTGGCAAGGAACATGGTTATATACGTGTAGAATGTGACCTCGATTAACATTCACCTTTCAAAGCCAGTGAAAGATAATTACCTCGAAAATAGGATCCTCTCGAACCCGATAACAAGAGGGAGCAACATGAAATCCCTAAGGGTCCATGTACCTATATAGCATATACTTGGGCCCTAAAGCTGCTATATGGGAACCCTTTTAAAGGCCACGTATATACTATATAGGTACATGGACCCTTAGGGACATCAAAGGGGCCCCTCACTAGCCCCGGTCTTGCGGATGTGCAGGTGCGAGAGCGTTCTCTGCGTAACTTTGCGCAAGCTCTGTGTATGCGTGTTCAGAGTCGGCAGCCGTAGTTGCTTTAGGGTTAGGGTTTAGGGTTTAGGGTTTAGGGTTTAGGGTTTAGGGTTTAGGGTTTAGGGTTTAGGGTTTAGGGTTTAGGGTTTAGGGTTTAGGGTTTAGGGTAGAAACAATGGGGTGTTGTACATGGTTGTAGCTGCACCTGCTTGAGAACATGACAACCCTAAATCGGAAACCGCACCCCGTCCCCCGGTCCTCCCCCACCCCCTCCCCCTCCAAACGAAAAAAATATACCTGAAGCCCAGCAACAGAAGCCATTCAACCCCGAACCATCAGGGGTGAATCCTGAACCCTAAACCCTAAATCCTACATTCTAGCGTTCGCGGCTTTGGAATTTAGAAGGGACGAAAGCGAGATGCAAG